GCGCGGGGCGGCGGGGACGGGGGGGGTCCGCTTCCCTTTGCAGTGGGGATAGGGCACGGGGACGCGGCGCGGCCCCCTTTGTGCGGGGCCACGGCGCAGGGTGGTGGCCGGCCCCCTCTGCCCGCTTTGTGCGGGGACTCGGCGTGAGGACATGGCCCGGCCCTGCTGTGCATGGGGACGTGGCGCGGGGACACGGCAAGGGACCCCTGTGCATGGGGACACGGCGTGAGGACACGGGGAAAGAGGGCAGGGGCAGGGCACAGCCCCCTTCCCCTAGAGATGCCATGCAAGAACACATCACACCCCTTTTGTATAGGGACATAGTGCAGGACCACAGCATGTCCCCCTTTGCATGGGGACACAGGGCACATGTCACAGCTCCCTTCTCAGGGGACACAGCACAGGGAAAACATCACAGCCCATTCCCGTGGGACACAGTGCAGGGAGAGATCACGGGCTCCTTAGCACAGGAACATGATGCAGGGACACAGCACGGCCCGTTTGCATGGGGACATGGTGSGGGGACATGGTGCAGGGACATGTCACAGCCCTCCTTGGCAAGGGGACACACTACAGAGCCACAACACGGACCGCTTGGCGTGGGTGAATTAGACTGGGGACATGTCACACCCCCCTTGGCATGGGGCCACTGCACAGGGTCACAGCRCGGTCCTCCCAGGCATCCCGTCCCCCTTGGAGGGCCACACACACTGGCGGGCTCCCGCTGAGGCCGCCACGCTCATCACAGGCTGGTCCCTTGTGGTGGCTCCTGCACCGCGCAGCTCCCGCTGGCTCCACGTCTCCTCCGGTGGGCACCGTCCCTGGCGCGCCAGGCTCGGCCGCGTGTCAAGTGGCTGCCGTGCCCGCCCGTGGGGGCAAAGTCCCCATCGTCAGCRCTGCGTGCCGGGGCAGGGCTGAGGGCTGAGCCGCCCGCTGGCCCTGGAAACCCCCTGGCCCTCGCCGCGGGGTGGTGAGGGCAGCCCGGCGCGGGCGCCCCTGGACCCCCCCCCGGCTCCCTCGCTGTGCCCCCAGCTGCCGGTGGCTCCCGGCAGCACCCGGCGCCCGCACGTCTGCGCCTCCCCTCGCGGCGCTCTGCGATGGACCGAGGCCGCAGCGCCCGCCCACAGGCCGCTATGGAGCGAGCGGGGCCGGCCGCTGCTGAGGGGAACTAGCCCCTCCACCCATGGCAGGAGGCGGCCGCCTGTGGCTCCAGCACGCCGGCCTGACTCCCACACAAGCAGCACGAGGGGGCTCCCAGCGCCGGCGAGGCCCRGACGGGTCCACAGGTGCTCCAGCCATGTAGCTCCAGCTGGTGGCTCCACTGACCGCCACCACCCAGCCGCTGCCATGCGACGGGGCTACGCGGCCGTCCTGTGTGAGTGGGGTGCCCCGGGAGGGCGGCGTGGGGGCCCCCGCGCTGGGCTGGCTCCTCGCTACGGAGCTCACGCTGCTCCTCGGCGCCCGCCCAGGTGTCCTGGCCGTCATGGGGCTGGAGGCGGCCGCGTTGGGTGAATGCGAGATCACTCAGCTGCTCCAGGACAAGCTGCAGTACGAGATGCGCCTGCAGTACATGGTAACTCTGCCCACTGCCCCCCACTGTCCCCTTGCTCGTGCAGGACCCTAGACCCATGGGAGGGGCACAGGTCCCATCCCTGGCTTTGGGCACCCCATCATCTCTGTGGTTGAGCAACCTCGGCTTCTTCACCATGGAGCCCTCAGCTCCTCACCATGGAGCTCCCTCACATGGAGCTTCCTCACCATGGAGCTCCTCGCTGCTGCCATCTCACCCTGGCGGGGTGGCCATGCTCAAGGGCTCCATCCCTGGCACCCCTTCCCCGTGCTGACGCAATGGGTGACACGCAGATTCCGTGGCCGTGGTGCWGTTCAGGGGCTTCCCCTTCTCTGAGCGACAGTGGCCGGGATGCTCCTGCTGCCACTGGCTCGGCCCGGAGGACGGGCTGGAGACCTTTGCTGCCAGCGGTCAGGCTCTCTCTCGCCCTTGCAGAAACACTACTTCCCTCTCGACTACACCGTGCAGGTCCAGTACGAAGAGGTGCTGCGGCCCTCCAACATYACCCGCTTGGTAAAGTGCCTGCCTGGAGCCAGGGCTGGCCACTCTGCTGTGTGCCAGCCTGAGGCTGGGCTCCTTGGGGTCCTCCCCTTATGGTGGGATACCCCAGTGTGTCCCCAGAGCCTGGGGACACTCGGGGCAGGGTGCCCATCACAGCTGGCTCCCACCTGGGCACCCTCTTGCCCACAGCGCAACGGGACGGTGTCGGAGGCAGCGCTGCGGTACCTCTGGTTCCACGTGAGCTCCCAGGCGCTGCTGAGGATCCGCCAGGTGCTGCCGGAGAAGCACCCATCCTGGAAGTACACGCAGGAGCTGTGCCGCCTCTTTGACGCCCTGGGCAGGGAGTACGGTGCCTACCGGCAGGTGGGCACCCTGGCTCGCACCAGCACCCAAGTGCTGAATGGGCCCTTGCACACATGTGGGTGCTGGGGGCGCTCCTGAGGGTGCACATCTGGTGTGAGGCTGTGGCACAACTGAGCAGGAGGCTCCACATCTGGCATCAGTGGGTCAGTGGAAGAATTCTTGCCTGCCATGTGGGAATCTTTGTTCAATACCYGACCAATGTAGCCTTCCTTTTGTGCTGGGCTGGAGGATGCGCTAGTGGCTGAGGAAGGGSCAGGGTGTCCTGCACCCAGACACAGGACTGGTCCTGGAGGCAGTGTCACTCTTCGGACTGTAGTCCCAACCTGAAGTGTTTGATGGGGTGGTTGTTTGCCCGAGCTTAGCCCAAACTTCGCTACTCAGTGTTAACTCTGAAGCCTAATGCCAACACTGTTAAGCCTGATGGTGTCTCAGAAAGCAGAATTAGGCCCTGGCATGGCTTGAGCCCTTGAAATCAGGTCTGTTTGGGCCCTGAGGATCCCAGAAAGTAGCGGACATCCCTGCTATCCCCAGCACCCCTCACCCTGTCCCAGTGCAACAGGGCCATTCTGCATCCAGAGAGTGACTTTGTCACAGAAACTGCAGCTCCAGGTCAGGCCTTTTCCTCCCCTCATTTCCTTTCTTGCAAAATGCCCCAGTGYGTGGGAGGAGAGGCCCAGCCTGGCTCGCGTGCAGCAGTGGAGCCAGTGCAGCGGATCCCCTGTGCGTGCAACCAGGCCACTGCGAGTGCTGGGGCTGCTGGGGTGCAGGGCCGTGGGGCAGCTGTGCGGGCAGCTCCACATCTGGCATTGGTGGTTCAGTGGTAGAATTCTCGCCTGCCACGCGGGAGGCCCGGGTTCGATTCCCGGCCAATGCAGAGCYGCTRTTTTTGCCGCTTTTTTTTTTTTTTTTTAACCCTCTGGAGCAGCTCAGAAATTGCTGCTGCTCCCCAAAATGGGTAGGAGCTCTGAGGCCTAAGCCACCTCCATGGCAGGGTGACCAGAGCCCACCCCAAAGAGGCTCCGTCTGCTCCAGAGCAGCATCTGCCCCGGACATTCTGCTCCTCCTCTTTTGCCCAGCCCTGCAGGTCCTGTGTGAGCACACGGGGCTCCTAGGAGGKCATCAAGAGGCAGACAGAGCCAGAGCTGTCCCACAGCACCCCTTGTTTGGCTAGAGTGGTTCCTGCTGAGCTGCAGTGGGGCTGGGTGGCACGAGCATCCTCCATGTGGTGGGGTTGGGTAGCTCTGGCTTGGGGGCCAGGARCATTCTTGGTTGGGTGGCCAGGAGCATCCCTAGTGTGGTGGCAGTGAAGGACACTGGCTCAGTGGCCAACAGTTGCGCTGATGGGAAGAGCATGATGCTGATGAGGGGGAACCAAGGACTTATCCAGACAGGAGCGTTGCCACCCAGATAGGCACCGCAGTGACACGGATGTGTGCGATGTCTGCACGGGTGCCACCAGCGACACGGCCACAATGGCAGGTGCCCTTGGACCCCGTGCTCTGTGTGTTGGGGGCAGCTCTGCAGCCGAGCGCTGCGGACACCTGCGCTGTCCCCACAGACGGACGTGGACGTGGTGGTGGCCGACCTGGTGAAGCAGGTGCACAGTGCTGGGGCCGAGAGGCGGAGGAAGGCCGTGCGCCCCAAGGCCCTGCTGGACAACTGCCTCAAGGTCATGCGGATGCTCTTCGGCAGGCCCTGTGAGTGCCCGGGCAGCGGGCGCGGGGCGCCGCGGGCACAGGGACCGGCACAGCGATGACGGCGGCTCCCCTCCTTGCGCAGGTGGCTGGGGCCTCACCTAAGGCCACCGAGAGCACCGGGCGCCTTGCCAAGGGGCARCTTCCACGGCCGCCTGGGCACCAGGGACCCGGTGCAGCTCGGCTGCCTCCTCCCACCAGCACAAAGGCTCCCACGCGGCATCCGGGCACCGTGCCCGGCCGGGCAGCCCAACAAGCCCAGAGCAGCCGTGGTGCCAGTCGGGCTGAGCCCAAGCACCCAGGCGCCTCACCAGCCTTTTGCACAGGTGCAGGATGGAGAGGGGGCACCCGGACTCAACCCCCAGCAGGACGGTGGCCCCGGCCATGTTGGGAGACGCTGCCTTGTCCTGGCTGCAGTGGGTGTGATTTGTTTGTTTGTTTGTATCCCTGATGTCCTGTTGTTTTGTATATTTTTCCTCAGCTTTCATTAAAAAACAAAAGTAAAAATAAAAAGGGGGTAATTTTCTAGTGCTCTTGGCAGATAAGCATGCAACAGGGCCACCTGAAGACTCCAATGGTGACCCATATAAAAGCCAAGCAGACAGAAGCCACCTCGGCTGCCTTTTCATTCGAGGAGTCCTTCTCCTCCCTCAGCCTTTCGGAAAGGGAAGGAGGGATTTTYCCCAACAACATCTTGTTCCGAGTCAGACCCCGCGGCCTCATTTTCCTCCTCCTCTTCCTCCTATCCAGGCGCAGGGCCGTGCTGCTGCCTCCTCCTCCTCCTCCTCACGGGGAGCCCCTGSAGCCCAGGCCTTGCTTGCAAAATCTTAACAACCTTGGCTTAGCCGCGCTTGGTCGCAGGCACGTGGAGGCACTGGAGGGGAGAGGTGCTTCCCTTAATGAGCACTTATATGGCTTCATATATATACATAAATATATATATATATATACACACACATATATATATATATATATATACACACACAGACACACACACACACACATATATAAGCTATTATGTACCTTAGCTGGGATATCTCCTTTGCCTTTGCGGGCTGAGGCTTCATGTGGCACTGAAGCCCCTGTGCTGGCACTGGGTGCTTCCTGTGGGGTCTTGTGTGACTTGGGGTGATGTCCCCTGCCACAGCCCTCCTACCCAAACCCAGGTGAGCACCGAGAGAACCACAAATAGGAGCAAATAGGAGGCTTGGAGCAGCCTTTTATTAGTGCTACGATGCTGATGCAGTGCCTGGGGCGCGGGGCCGGCTGTGGGCACCGCTTCTCACCAGGGCAGGCTCTGCCCTCGCCAGTCAAGGAAGGTGCCGTTGCTGGTGGCCGAGAGCGTGGCCAGCACGTGCAGGATGCCCCGCGTGCTCTCCTCCAGTGACACGGGTTCCTGCAGAGCCCAAGGAAGGCAAGCGGCGCCTGAGCCCCAGCCTCTCCTCCTGCCTCGGCTGCCCAAGGTGGGGGCAAGGGGCTGGCATGGCGTGGGGGGGATTCCAGTGGCTGGGAACAGATGTTCCTGTAAGGAATTGTGCAGAAGCTCCCCCGGGACTAGGCCTGCTGCCCTCCCCGCTGCCCCAGTGGGTGCTCGGATGCTCACAGAGCAGCGCTCGGTGCAGACCTGCAGCTGGAGGCCAGCTCAGGAGGCCCGGAGTGCCCTCTGCTGACACACAGAAACATTCAACAGGGGCGTATAGCCTTAAAAGCAGGCTGTATATACATATATATATTTAYRTATCTATGGGGAGTGGCAGGGCAGGGAGGAAYGGGCCCCGGGTACCGGCGCTCACCGTCTCGCTGTCCGCAGGGGGCATCACGCAGCCAGGGGCAAGGGCCACACAGAGGATGCCGCTGCCACCGTACTCCAGGGCCAGGCACTTGGTGAGCATGTTGAGAGCAGCCTGGGGACGGGTGGCACCATGCCGGTCACCGTGGTGGCCTGGGCAAGGGACGCAGTGGGTGCCACGGCACAAGTACCTTGCTGCAGCGGTAGCCGATGTCCTGCCCACGCTCCCAGGCCGGTGTGGCTGCGATGGAGCCCAGGCTGCTGGAGAGGTTCACGATGGCCGCCCTGCTGCAGCTCATGGCACCCCCGGCGCGGGCCGCCTCCAGGAGCAGGGGCAAGAAGGCCTGGGGACACACGGGGAGGGGACGTAGGAGCCGCGGCGTAAGGCCGAGGGGTGCCCGCGGGGCCAGGCCTCACCTGGCACACCTGCAGCGGCCCCACGGTGTTGGYGGCGTAGCTGAGCAGCATGGACTCGGCCGTCTCGCTGGCCAGGCTGCCGCGGCGCCGCGCAGGGCCCGCGCCGGTGAGCAGCAGGTTGAGCCCCACGCCCTGCAGCCGCTCCGACACCGCTGCGGCCGCCTCCTTGATGCTGGCGGGGTCGGTGGTATCTGCGTGTGTCCCCCACCCCCGAGAAGCAAAGGTCACTGGCAGTGGAGCTGCTGCCAAATACTCCAGGCAGAGTTGCCCGGCCAGGTGGCAGAGGCCGGATTGGACCCAGCGTAACCYGCCCTGCCGCTCACTTAGTGCCCCAGGGGAAGGAAGAAGCCGGTGAGGGACCCCAGCAGCCCGGGGGATTGTGCCTGCCCCTCGGGGGCACCTACCTATGCGCAGCACCACGACGCTGGGGCAGCCCAAAGCTACCTCGTTAATGGCCTGCAAGRAGGGAGAGGGAGCTGTACACGGGGGCCGGCAGTACCGCGGGGCACATTTGGCACCTTGGGTCACCACTGCTGCCCCCTGAYCCCACATCCCTATGCTTGCAGAGCGGGGTTTGACACCCGTGCGGAGGAAGGYGGCTCAGCTTGAGTGCCGGGGACGGGTTTCGGCAAGTGCCGGCGGGAGTGGCCCAGCTCCCAGGTGTGACGCTGAGACACCTCCTGCCAGCAACACCCGCCTCGCCAGCACTCGTGTCACCTGCTTCAGGGAGAGGAAAAACAACCCCTTCCCCACAAAGACTGCGAGCGTGGCCGGAGGCGCCGTCCTACCTTGCTGCCGGGGTCGAGGCAGGCGGCGAAGAGGTGCTGGGGAGGGCTGGGCAGCTCCAGCAGCGCCTTCACCAGCCCCAGCCCCAGGCCGCCGTCGCAACCCGTCACCAGCACGGTGCGGGCACCCGCCATCCCTGCGCYGCCACCGCCTCCGCGCCCACGCTGGGCGGGCTGTGCGAGCGGAGATGCCTCCGAAGGCGGCACCACGGTGGTTTCGGGGAGATGGAGCAAAAGGGCCCAAATAGACCCTGCATCCCTAGCCTGTCCCTCCACCCATGATGCCAGGTGGGATCTGGCTCCCCAGCCCTCYCCAGCATGAAGCAGCCAGCGCGGTCATTACAGTACAACTTTTTATTAATACTGGAGTCTTCACAGTGCATTCGTTACTTGTAGCAGTGACTAGTGGGCCAGGGGAAGGGTGTGGCGGGGGGAATGGGAGAATTACCACAAAAACAAAACAAACCAAAAGCCCCCCAAAAAACAAAACAAAAAAGCCCCAAAGGAGGAGGGAATAAAAGAAAAGAAGAAGAAAAAAAGAAATCCGGGTGAGGCAAGGGGAGGGAAGCAGAGGCAGAGACAGGAGCACTGGAATAGGGAGAAGGGGGAAATAAATTAAAAAAAAAGGATCAAGTTAACAACAGCACCAGAAAAGTTACTTCTGTCAAAAGACATTTTTTTTCTTTCCCAAGGATTTTTTTTTGTTGCTGTTCTCTGTACAAAATGAGAAATAAACCCCCCAAAACCCAAACATTTGTCACTTGTCATCAGCATTTCTGGTCACGAGAAGGGATCTGGGGCCAGGGCGGACGGGCTGGGGCGAGGGGTAACTAAATCGTTATTACTAAGACTGAGTAAGAAGGGGGCTGCGATGCAACACACGCCGGGGTGGGGGGCGAGCTATGTACACCATGGGGCTGCCGGGGGGCAGGATGGGTTGGAGGGCAGCGGGGCAAGGGGAGGTTGTGCTTTCTTCAAGGCTCCGAGCACATCTGCGGGGAAGAGGCGGCCGGAGGCTCCTCCGATGCGGGAGGCTCCAGTGACCCAGCCAGGGTGGCCTCGAGGCAGAGCTGGGTCCTGCAGACGGAGCTGGGTCCTGGTGGCCACAGGACGAGTCTTGCTGCCGGCCCTGCAGCCCCTCTCCGGCTGCCAGGGAATTTGGTAAGGGGAAAAGTGCAAGGAAAGAGATGGAAGGAGAAACAGAGGAAAGGAGAGGAAAGAGAAAAATAGAAAAGAGAGAAAAGGTGCAAAAGAGAAAGGAGAGAGAGAAGGAAAGAAAGGGGGAGGGAAGGGGGAAAAAAAGAAGCGAAGGAGAAAGAAAGCAGGATAAAGAACCAAGGTGAGCAAAAAAGAGAAACAGCAAAAGCAGAAGCATGAAAGGGAAAGAAGAAGGAAAAAGTGAGAATGACAAAGGAAAAGGCAAGAAAAAGAGGAAAAGAAAGCAAAATGCACAAGCAAGAGAAAGCACAAGCAAGAGGGGAAAAGAAACGTAATAGGAACAAAGCAAGTGAGAAAAGCAAGCAAGCAAGTGAAAGCAGGCAAGGGAGAAGGCAAATGCAAGAGAAAGGGAAAGGAGACAAAAGCAAATGCAAGAGAAAGGGAAAGGAAGCTAAAGAGAAAGCAAATGCAAAAGAAAGAAAAGGCAAATGCAAGAGAAAGCAAGCGACAGAGAAGAAAGCATGAGAAAAAACGAACAAGAGAAAGGGAAAGCAAGACAGACAGAAAACACAAGAAAAGAAAGAGGAAAGCAGGAAAAGGGGAAGTGAGAAGGCAGGAAGGAAGGAGAGATGACAGCCAGCCCCTGCGGGAGTGGCTGTGCAGTGGCTCGTGGGGACCGGTGAGCGGTGAGCTCCTGGGTGCTCCCGCTCAGGTCCCACGAGTCACCCAAAAGTGCCGGGGAGGCTGCGGGCGAGTGGGGGGTGAGGGGCAAAGTACAAAAGGATCTCGGGACCCGGCTCAGCGCGGGCTTTCAGTCTCCGTACGGATGCAGGCTCTGCTTCTCCCTCTGTGAAGTGGCCTCCCGCCGGTGGCTCTGCTCCTCGGGGCGCTGTGGGCACTGCTTCGCTCTCCTCCTAGGGACACGGGGCAGCGGGATGGCACGGCGCAGGACGGGGACGGTGGGGACCGGGGACTCCATCACAATATCCGTGGGGCCGATCTGTCGTTGGTGACGGTCCTCCGCAGGCGCACCCCGCGCCGGATGGCCACCAGCATGTCTTCGGCCGGGGGGTCCATGGAGGCCGCTGGCGGTGGAGTAGGCGTCTCCTCACCGGGGCMAGGGCCCGACAGCGCTGTAGGGAAGGGGAACTGGCCTTCACCTAGGGCATGCGCACTGGCCACCAGCTCGCCGATCTTCTCCACCAAGCTGTGCCGGTTGGCGGCCAGCTGTTGGTCCTCCTCTTCCTCAGCGGAGAGGTGCTGGCCGGCCCCGGAGTAGACGGAGATCTCCATGACGTTGCTGCCCCAGGCGGTGTTGGGGAGGCTCAGCCGTTTGGGCGAAGCTTTGGCAAAATCCATGGTGCCCGGAGAGGCGTCATCGGCATAAAACACACACTCTTCGCTGCCAACCCGCGTGGGGCCGGTGTAGCTGGGGGAGTCGGGCACCGTGGGGGTCTTCACAGGGACGATGGGGGGCCGGATGGGGATGGGGCCTGCGTTGGAGAGGGTGCGGCGGACCGAGGGCTTGGTGGAAGGCGTGCGGCGGATGGTGGCGACCCCCGGYGTGGTGCCAGCTGGCAGGTTGGTGCCTGTAGGCAGCCCAGCGGTGGAGGCAGGACGCTTGGTCTGGATCATGCGCCGGTAGTTCTGGGCGATGTTGCTGTTGCGYGGGATGGTGGAGGACTTGTCGAACTCGCTCTGGGGGTCGCACTCCACGTCACCATTCACAGAATAGCAGTCGTAGTCCGAGCCTGTAGAGGGGGAGGCCAGTCAGCATGGCGGAGTGGGACGGTGGCAGCCCACCTGCCGCTGGCCAGCCCAACTACCGAGATGACCATAACCAAACTGAACCGTCACTGCTGCAACATGACCGCAACCCACCTCAATCGCCATCACAACACAATCCCTGTCAAGCCCAAACATCACCAGTGCAGCATGATCCCAGTCAGCCCCAGCCATCACCATCACAGTGAAAGCACAGCTGACCCCAGCTGTCACCAGTGCATGATAACAGCCCATCTCAGCTGTTATTGTCTCAGTGTGTTCACAATCACCCTAACCACTGCCATCACAGTGTGATCACAAGCATAACCATCACCACTGCAACACAATTCCAACCAGTCCCAACCACCRCTATCATGTGAGCACAGCCGAAACCAACCACCGCCAAAGTGTGATCACATCCATCACCAAAAGAACACAGTTACACCCAACCACAACCATTTCCATGGCTACTTTATCTCCAACCACCACATGCGACGCTAACCCAACTCTCCGGTGCTGAATCGCCGCACACAAACACATTGCCACGAATCGCCACTTCACACCCTGCATGGTGCTACCACGGGAGGACACTGCATGGCACCATGGGAGCCACCATGGCACACATGGCACAGTCACAGCCACCACTGTCAACAGTCAGAACTGCTCCAGCAGCTGGTCTCCTGCACCATGCGTGGCTCCACCAACRCTCCAAGTAATCGTGAGGTGTTCATGGTTTTGCGACACACCTCAGCATGCGCAGTCATTACATCCACCCATCCTTATCCCAAACAGCCCATGCGCTGTAACCACAGCCTCGTCCTGCAACACTTAGCACAGGCCCTAGTGCCGCCCAAGCATCCAGGACCACAGAATCACAGCAGGTTTCAGGTTGGAAGGGACCTCCAGAGATCATCTAGTCCAACTTTCCTGGTCCAGCAGGGACATCCAGAACATGTGGCACAGGGTRACATCCMGGTGGATTTGAARACCTCCGGAGAAGGAAACTCCACAACCCCCCTGGGCAGCCTGTTCCAGGGCTCTGTCACTCTCACAGTAAAAAAGCTCCTCCTCACATGGAGATGGAACTCCATGTTGCATGGAGTTCCATGTGTTGCAGCTTGCACTCATTACCCCTTGTCCTGTCACTGGCCACCACAGCTTCTCCAGCAGCACATGCCCAAGTTGCTCAGCAGGCAGCCTCACGAGCCACATGACAGGCCCAAACCTTCCACCTCATCCCACACAACCGAAATAACGTGCTCTGTGCTGCAACCGTTGGCTCATCAGCAACAGCCTGGCTCCCGCACGGAAAACAAGGGCAGGGAAAGGGCGCTAGTGGTTCATGGGGCAGATGTTGAGCACAATACAGCGGAAACATCCACAGGGAGCCAGTGGAGAAGTCAGCACGTCTCTGTGCCAAACATGCAGTGTGGGAGGACGGGCACAGCAYCATGTTAGACCCAAGGGCATCAATAACACCACGTGGGGAAGCCACCCCGAAGGACTCTCACTGCACTCTACCCTGGCGCCTCCTTTCCCACTGGGAGCGAGTCAGGCCCGCGGCACCGCTACCTTGGGAAGGGATGGTGTCCTCGGAGCAGGACGGGGTGGTCGTCTGTGTGCTGTAGCCGCTGGAATACTGCAGTGAGTCACGGCTGCTCTTCTGGTGCTCCAGGCTCAGCCCCCGGGTCAAGACCATGGCCAGGTCGCTGGCAGCAGGGGACACCTCCTCGCCGTGCTGTGGCAGGAGAGGAGTCATCCATGAGCACCCCAATGAGCCGGCCGTGCCGCCGCGGTGGCCTCAGCCACCCACACTGCCATGTGGTGACTGTCTTTGGCGCTCACCCAAAGTCACCTCACCTCCAGCACCTCACCTTGGCAGCAATGGTGGCTGGTGACATGCGGGGCCTGGGGGCTTCCTCGACGCTGATGCCCGGGTACGCCATGGCGGCTGAGGCCATCTCCGCTTCCCGCAGGTGCTCGACGCGGTCCTTGCGCCTCTGCAGGATGCTCACCACGGGCTGCTCGTAGGGGCTGGCTTTGGACCAATCCTGCCAACGGAGCCGCGCAGTGGCCGGTGAAGACGGAGCGCCAGGGTGGGAGGAGAGAGGTGGGGATGGGGACGTGCGAGGGGGCACCAACGGGGTGAGCCCTGCTCCAGGGACCAGGATGCTGGGCGGGTGGATGGAAGCAGGGAGGGCAAGAGAGGAAGAGGAGGGCCTCGCTGAGGAAGACTCGGCCTCCTCACCGCCTGCCCTGCGGGCGAGCTCACCGAGGTGGGGGAGCTGCACTCGCTAACCGACTGGCAGGTCTCCGAGGCCTCCGAGGACGCCGAGCTGGAGGACTTCTGCCGTGCCCACCGGCCCCAGAGTGGCAGCGAGTTGYGCACGCACAGAGAAGGGAGAGAAGAGAGCTGGTTAAGAAGCTGGCAGCATGCAGCAGGCGCTGGGGACGTGCAGCGCGGCGGCCCTCGCTCCGGGTTAGAGGCTGCGGGTGCAGCAGCATGCACACATCCCCCTCCTCAAACACAGCGCCCCGCTGCCCTCTGGCCATGCACCTCGCATGCCACCCTCCCGCCCATGCGCACAGGGGCGAGGAGCAGGATTTGCCCCCTTTCCGCCCCAGAAATGGGGACGTGTGCCCAGCAGTCGTGGGGAAGGTGCCTTGGCTTTGTCATCCCCGCAAGGTCCCTTGCGAGGTGTTGGCTGTGAAGCGGGGTTCTTGGGGCTGTGTTTTGGGGCAGAGGCTGGATCTGAGGCTCGCTGCTGCACATAGGGGATGTGGACACAGGCACAGGCAGTCAGCAGCTGGGCACGCCGGGCACAAGCGACGTGACTGGGGCTAGAGCTGACGACCAGCATCTCCAACAGCATCCTGGCTGGCACCAAGCATCTGCCAGGCGGATGCAGGGCCGAGAGCTGCCTTGGCCAGGGAGCAGCATGAAGTGGCCTCTGGTTCATTGTGGGGCTCACAGGATCGAGAAATACCCTGTTTCCTGACCCAATACCCCGTTTCCTGACTGAGGGGTGAATGGTGACCCCCCTCCCTAGGGGAACAGCCTGGCCTGAGCAGGGTGGCCATCCCACCTGTGTTTTTCTCCCCTGTGATGTTGTTGCCCACCTGGAAACATGCCCAGGGGTATCACAGACACCCCACCGGACAGGATCCCTGCATCTCAGCCGCTCCTTTTACAGAGGGGGAAACTGAGGCACCAAGGGGAGCTGTGTCGATTGGTGCCTGGCATCTGGTCCCTTCCCTCTTACCTGGCTGGTGATGTCCGAGGGCATCGGAGAAGGCGGTTTGGAGTAGGTGGCGTCCTGGGAGATGAAGCCCGAGTCGTGCGAGGAGACACTGGACAGACGTGTGCCCGCGTTGACCGGCTGCGCCAGGCTGCGGTAGCGATAGKTGGAACTTGGTGAGCAAGTTTGGGACCCGCCGGACCACGGGATGCCACCTTTGGCACCGCTCCCGCTGCTGGGGTGGGCATGGGGGGGAACGGTGGCGGGGGGGACGGCGGGAGAGATGATGCAAAGGAAGGAAAAGAGAGTTTAAGACAGAGGTCGGCTCCGTGGTTTCGCCGGGAGAGGAGCCAAGCAACGAGGCAGGGCTGGCCAGCGCGGCCCCCATGCAGTCCCCCCATCCCAGACCAAGAYTGAGGCTTCTCCAGGTGGGAAAACCAAGGCACCCGGCGCCCACAACGTCCCCATCCCTGCCAGAGCTCCCCACCTGCCTGAGTGGCAGGGGAGGAACAGGTTGGGCAACAGGGGGACCGTCCCTTACTCTGGATGTCCCCTGGGATGCATGGGGACGTGCCAACCCCACTGCTGCCCYAGCTGAGACCTGTTTGCTGGTGCTGCTGGAACCAGCTGGGCACGTGGCCTCTTGGAGGCTGAGGACCATCAGCTAAGCATCTCCCAGTGCCATGAGCATCCCAAATGAAGGGCTTGCTGGAGGAGCTGAGCCCGGCTGCTGGCTGCTCGGAGGACATGTGTCTGCAGCCCTCGCCCTGGCCCACGTCCCTTGCACGAGCAGCACAACACAGATGGTGGCATGGGCAGCTAGAATCCCGAGGCCCCAACGCACCTGCACATGCTGGACTTGCGGGAGCTGGAGCTGCTGGGAGAGGACGGGGGTGTCTGGTAAGACCAGCTGTAGTCTGAGCCCTTCAGGTCCTTGATGACCTGCAACAGGGAGGCCCAGGGTGAATGGTGGCCAGAGGCCTGTGTCATCCCCTGTCTGTGGGGCTGGCGGCGGCCGCAGGGCTCACCTGCTCGCTGGCAGGGGGCAGCTTGTGGGGCTCGGCCGTGAGCACCACCAGGTCGTCAATGATGCCCTGCAGGTGGGTGATCTCTCCCAGCATGGTGATCTCGCCATTCTGGAGGTGGTGGGAGGCATCAGGGCCCAGATGCCGGGCACCTTGGGCCTTCCAACTCCACTCCGCTTAGCTGGAAGACCCTCAGCGCCTCATGCTCCAAGGGCATGGATGGGGTCTCCAGGCWGGTGGTGCATCTCGGAGGGCTCCCGAGCTCCATGCAAGCAGCCAGGAACGCGGCGCCCAGCCGGGATGCTGGCACTTACCACCACAGGCTGCAGGAAGGTGATGAAGGTGCAGAAGCGGCCCCGCTCCTCGATGAGTGCCTTGCGCACTGCCTGCTTCTCTGTCTCCTCCAGCAGCAGGTACATGTCATTGACGTCCTGCAGCGCATTGTCCAGCTGGGGCTGCAGGTCCCCCTTGCCTGCGAGTGAGCGGAGAGAGCCCAGAGGCATCGAGCGAGGCCCGTGGCAGCTTCTCCCACCACCCGCCGTCCCCGGCATTGGCACCAAGGGCCCTTCTGGGTGCCGCCAAGGGACCTTTCCCACAGGAGACAGATGGACAAGCGGAGCAGGGCATGGAGCCACCAGGGCAGAGGGGCTGTGGGAGGCTGCGAGCGCACGTGGGGCAGTGGAGGGGCGCCTGGGGAGAGGCAGAGGAAGGAAGCAGAGAAGGGGCAGCGGGAGCGCGCGGCCGGGGCGGGCACCGGCGTTGCACTTACCCAGCAGCTCTACGGGGAGGATGTGGAAGGGAGGAAGGAGACAGAGAGACAGAGAAGGAGACAGAGAGAGAGAGAGATCGTGTGAACTGTGGCCCAGCGCTGGTTTCTCCGTCCCCCGGCGCCCTTCCCGCGTGCGTCCTCCTCTCCCCATCCCCRCTCACCTTTGCGGGCCTTTTTCTGGAGCTTGAGGGTGTCAGAGGATTTCTTCTTGATCTCGTGCCGGGCACGCTTGTACTCTGTGAGTGCGGGAGCAACATGAGGCGGGGACCCGGCACTCGGCTCCCCCCTGCCTGGGCATCCATCCCCTCAGGGCACCCTCCCAGCCCCAGTGCCATCACCTTTCGCGTGGTCCTTGTCCAGCTGGTTGGCCGTTTTCTTCCAGTCCTCAATCCTGTCCTGCAAAGGGGTGATGAGGCTCTCCATGAGGGCGCTGGAGCAGGGTGAGAGAGGGACAGAGTGACGGTGGGTGCCGGCGGGCAGAGCGGCTCGAGCGCCGGCCAGGCCCTAGGCGTGAGGGTGGCCCCAGCTGTGCCACCCCTGTGCTTACTTGGTGAACTGCCGGAGCTTGGCCTCGATGCTGCGGTGCCTCATGCACATGCGGGTGAGCGCCGAGCCAATRTCGCGGGTGGCCCCTGGGAGGGACAGGGAGACGTCACTGCGGCTGGCGGCAACTGTCCCCAACCCCAGTCCCGGCTAGGTCCTGCGCTCCCGGCTGGATCCYGGGAATCGGAACTCCTCTGGGTGTGCAGGGGTGGCGCTGCGGCGCGCTGGGAAGTGGGAGCTTCCCAGTGAAAACAGCTGCTAATTCTGAAAGCTAAGGATGGCCACAGCGCGGCAGTGCTGCAGAGGCTCCGTGGCGCCGCATGGCCCGGCAGAGGCAGGGAGATGGCCATCGAGGCCTCCCGTGGCGTGGGAATGATATTGTGCCCTTGGTTCTCCCGAAGAGTCCGAGTGGGAACTCCCTTCGATTCCCCCATCCTAGAGCTGGCTGTCCCGGCGCACCAAAGGAAGGTGACACGGTCTCGGGCCCCCCATCCCTGCTTTCCATGGCACCTCCTGGCCCTCAACCAGTCACCCCATCCCTGCTGACATCCCCACCAGCGGAGCCGCACCGGACACCTGGACCCTTTCCCCCTGGTGCCAGGGCCACCCCTGTTCCCTTGCTCAGGGCAGTCTCTTAATCCAGCTCCTAATGCTCTTATTCCGGATCCTCTGGCTCCTAATCCAATCCCCCCCGCAATCCCACGCGCTCATACATGTAGGCGGCCAAGCGGCTATCGAGCGCCTGTCGGAAAACACCCTGGAGCGGAAAGACGGTGGGGAGGCAGGGCCAGGGCTCGATGCGGATAACCCCCCTCGGCATCTGCATCCAGCATCATCCTTACACCAGGATGTGCGGAGCCAGGGGGAGCCTGGCTTCCTGACTCAGTTTCCCCGAGAAACCTCAGGGAAAAGCTGAACGCCCTCGGTGGCCTCAGGATGCCGTTCCTGCCTTCCCGGCTCCTGGCCAAGGCAACCGGCTGGTAAAATACAGCAGCCTCCACCTGCTCCCTCCGCCCGGCGCCGGAGCTGCGCTAGGCASGGAGCATCCCTGGTGGGTACCACGTCCTTCCCAGCCACAGGAGCCGCCGCCTGGGCTGCTCTGCTGTGGATCTCCCAGCTTTGGACGCCAGATGTTGCCCGCTGCCCAGGGTGGAGGCCGCAGCGCCAGGGAGGCGCTGGCAGCGGTGSCAGCCGGCCAGGCGCCCCGGGCAGCCGAGGGGAACTGGGGGAGCCCTAATCCGCGCCGTGCAGTGGGCTAGTGTGTTGGGAGGAGGCAGCTGATCCCTGCTCAAGCTGCCTCCTCCTCCTCCYGCGCAGCTCCAGATGGCCTGCATGCCACGAGTCTGCAAAACAGCCCGAGACCATCTGCTTGGCAGAAGCCGGGAGGTGGGAAGCGGGCACCTCGCTGCCAGGGTGGGAGCGGGAGCCTCGGTGAGGCTGCCACGGCCCCTGCGCCCGCAGCCGCTGTCAGGGCCGAGCCGCAGCCCGTGCTGCCAAAAATCCCCGGCGGCAGCGCTGGCCACGGTCCCAGAAAGTCCCCCTCCAGTAAGGGTCGTGCTGGAGAGTGGCATGGGAATGCTAGGGACAAGCAGAGGCCAGACCCCCACACTCAGCTCTGCTCACAACCATCTCCTTGCAACTCCGTCCTGCCGCTTGCTTGGAGCGCGAGGGCGAGCGGTGGCACCCAGGGGCTCCTGCCCACTTGGCCTGACCTGGCGTGGACTGGCCGCCACGCGGGTGTTCCGGGGGGCCCCCCCTCCCTGCTGACCTCTTTTCCGCCCCGCAATCCCGCTTTGCTCGCTGCCTGCTCGTCAATCTCCTGTAATCGTGGCGGGCAGCTGCCCACGGCTTCCCCTAATGCCCGCGGGCCTCGCGGGGCAACGGGTGGCTGGGTGGCGAGGCCAGCAAGCCCTGGGGGCTTCCAGCAGGACCCACCTCGGGTGTTGGTGGCCATGTCAGCCACTTTCTGGAAGGCATCGAGGAAGGCAACGGCGGCCAGCACTGTAGTCCTGGGATGGAAAGAGGGGGACAGCGCTGAGCCAGGACGTCCACGAGCGGCACGGGCCCCATCACAGCATCGACGGCCACTCACCTGAGCTGGGAGTGCAGTTTGGTCGCCTTGGAGTTGAAGTCCTCCCAGATGGGGTAAGAGCTCTGGAAGGAGGGAAGGAAGGAGTGAGGCCAACGGAGGCTGTCATCTCCGAGCTGCTCGCCACTGGCACCGCCGTGGCAGGCAAATTGCCCCTGCTGAGGCACGTGGGGCTACCAAGCATGGCCAGATAGTAGTCAGAGGTGGCCAACCACCAGGACATCCCACTAGGCCCCTGCAGACCTTAACATTGTGTGCCAAGGGCAACACCACGGCCCTGGGCATATAGAGGGCAGCCCATGTGGATTCTCTGATGGCCAATAACYGGCAGTACCTGCTGCTGGCACACAGGTGGGGAAACCGAGGCAGGCGATGTGCGGAGGGCTGCAGGGGAGGGGGTTGGGGGAGAAGGCTGGTCCTTGGCTCACACCACAAGCCCAGTTCCTACTGCCAGGATCAGATGGTGAAATCCAGCCCAAAAGGCAGAATAAGAAAAGCTGCTCATGAGCAACCCAAGCCGGTTTGCTCAGGTCGTCTCTGCCCAGCTCTCAGGGCCCCCAAAGCCCTGATGTCGCCAAGATGTCCCTGYTCTCCACCCCACAAACCAGTGCCCCCCACAGGCAGTGGGTGAAGCTTTTGGGGTGATGAAGAAGCACCCAAGGACCAAGTGGGGCTGGRGGGCAGGTCGGGGCTCTCAAGTCCTTCATGGGACTGTTGTGGGCTTGGAGATGCTGCTCATTTGTCCCGTGTACAGGGAACAGAGATGGGTGCCGGACAGACCATCCCGATGCTGCCTCTGCAAGGTYATCCTGGCAGGACCATCTGGATGCCACTATGGTGTCGCCGTCCTGGCAAGGCCATCCCAGCAAGGCCGGTYCCAGCGAGGCTAATCTCGGCGCTATCCCAGCAAGGCCATTTCCAGGGTGACATTCCCATGTCCATTCCCATCCTGGTACAGTCCCAGTGAGGCCAGTCCAGCTATGTCCTGTTGAGATCATCTCCGCAAGGCCGATCCAGGTGCCACCTCCATGAGGTCGATCCTGGCACCACCACTTTGGTGCCATCCCACTGGCGCCGTCCCTGCAAGGCCCCGCTGGCACTGTCCCCCTTTAGTGGCAACATGCSGGGTGTGTTCCAAGGACGAGGCATRGATCTGCCTCCAGATCCAGAAGGCTGCACGCTGGCATCTCCTGCTGCCCCAGGGGGCAAATTCCTCTGTGGTGGACGATGATGTTCCTCAGGAAGAGGGACTGGAGGACAAGGACGTGCCAAGGTCGTGGTTGCACTGACAGCATGAGAGGCCACAGGTACCGAGCGGGCTCCAGCCCAGATCCTCCCGGTGGAGGCCACRGGGTGCCAAAAAGCCACCGGTGACTGACCTGCGTGCTAGGCCGTGCGCATCGCTGTGCTGTCCTGCAGCAGCCGGGCATTTTCGCTCCTGACTGTGATCGGCCGTGAATGAGAGCGGAGGGAGGTCATCAAAACGTCACTTCTAGGGAGCGAGGGCACCCCCAAGCCAGGGGCGAAGCCTTCGGCCTCACGCGCTCCTGGCTGGGGCGGGCRGCTCAGGGATATGCCGTGTGCTGGGAAGCGCAGCACCCTCACCCTGTCAGCCCTGACCACGCTGCGCCTCCCCTGAGCAGGAAAACCCCCAGAGCCTTTTTTTCCCCTGCTCYGAGTGAAAAACATTTTGATACATATATATAAACAGAAATAAATCAATGCAGGTCTTCCCACGGCAGAAAGCTTCAGGCTGGGCTGCGGGGTCGGGGCTGCGGCAGGGAGGCCGGGAGCGCGCGGCGTGCGAGCAGTGAGTGGTACCGGGGCTGACGGCACCTTTCCTATTTATCTTTATTTTTATTCCTGGGCGCTGCGCTGGCTGGCTCGAGCCCTGGGGCTGCTCCCTCCTGCGCCTCCTCTGGCTCAGTGCGGAATGCAGCAGAGAGACCCCTGTCCCTGCCGAGCATCCTCGGCACCTCCATCCCCGCCACCCTTTCAAGGGCACCAGCAGGTGCCAGCAGGCGCCTGTGCTGCTCTTGCCACCCAGCACCACCCTGAGCATCCCTGGGTCCTGTGGACGTGGCCCTTTTCCCTCTGCCTCCGGACCGGCTCTCCTGGACCCGCCGCCTCCTCCCCACTCTCATCAGAGCCACCAAGGGGCTTCTCGGACAGGGGGTGCCACCCCAGGGTGCAGCATCTGTAGCACTCGGCACCCTGGGCCTCCCCGGGCGCATATCACCCTGCGACTGCCAGCACCCAGTGGCCAGAAAAACTCGGATTTTCCCACTCGAGGGCTTCTTTCCCTGCAGCACCGTGCCAGAGCCCTGCTGCTCCAGCATCGCATCCAGCCCGACCGCCTGCCTCCAAAGGGGTTAATCTCCTTCCCGGCTCGGCTTTTATTTTTTTTCTCCCCCTCCCCTGCTCGAGCAATGACAGCATTGTCTGGACTGGCTGCAGCAAGGAGCCGGAGGAAGAGGAGGCGGAGGAGGCGGAGGAGGCGGAGGAAGAGGAGGAGGAAGAGCGCTTTGCCTCCCGGAGCGAATGTGGCCGGGAGCCGGCGAGCCCCGGGGCAGGGCTGCCAGCGCTGCCCCCCAAGCCCCTCCATGCCACAGGCTGCCCGGCCACGGCCCCCCGCCAGGAAAACGCCCCGGCCCTTTTATTTTTTTTTCTTTTTTTTATTTTTTTTAAATTTTTTTTTCCCCCTCCTATTTCAGTCAGAACCAAAACAAGGGAGGGAAAAACTGCTGTTTTTAACGGCGGCCCCATCCTGCGCCTGGCGCTGGATGCAGCAGGGTGCGGAGCGGGGCCCGGGGCCCAGCGCCCTCGGCGCTCGTGGCGGGCAGAGCGGTGCCAGGAGGGTCGCGCGAGCCGCCGCGGTGCCCGCTGCGCCCACTGCCCTCCCCGGCACCCAGCTGCGGTGCCCAATGCAGAGCTGCCCCCCGCCGCGGCACCCCGGCACGGGGCCGACCCGGGGCTCCGCTCCACGACGTGCGGCTGACGGGGGGGGCTCCGGGACCCGCTGCGGGGCTGCCGCGGGTCTCCGATGTCCGGCGCGGGGGCTCCCGCAGCCCAACGCAGCCTCCCGCTACCGCAGCGTGGGGCCGATTCCCGATGCGAGTCTCCCCACGGAGGGCTCCAAACCCCGCGCGGGGGGCAGACCGCCGTGCCGGGCTGCGGGCACACGCCACGCTCCCGCTGCTACTCCCCGCCGCGCTGCCGCTCCCGGGAGAGGTTTATTTTCGGCCGCCGCTGTCACGGCGGATTTGGCGGCGGGTTGCGGCGCTCCTACCTTCATGTCGTTGATGATGGCCTGGAAAAGGCCGCCGAGGGCGCCGCACTCCTTCTCCGCCGTGTCCATGGCGGCGCTGCGGCAGCCCGGGCCGGGCGGCGCCGCCGGGCTCAGCGGCGGGCCGGGCTCAGCGGCGGGCCGGGCTCAGCGGCGGGCCGGGCTCAGCGGCGGCGGGGCCGGGCGGGGCGCGGGGGCGGGCGGGGCGGCGCGGGGCATCGCCCCCCCGGGCGCCTCTCGGCCCCGGCCGCCCCCCTGGCGGCGGAGGGGCGCGGAGCGGGGCGCGGAGCGGAGCGGGGCGCGGAGCGGAGCCGAGTGGCGCGCAGCGCGGCGCCCGGGGCGGCGGCGCGGGGCGGAGCGGGGCGCGACGGGGCGGGCGCTGCGCGGCACATGCGCTGCCGCCGCGGGGCTGGGGGCGGCCCGGGCGCACGGCGGGGGTCTCGGGGGGCAGCCCCAGGGGTGCCGCTGAGGCGGCCCCGGGAGCACGACGGGGCTGCTCGGCCGGCCCGGCGCTGGGAGGCCGCCTCGGAGGTCCCGGGGGGATCCTTGCGCTTGCAGCAGGGAGCCCCGAGAGCTGCTCAGGGTCCCCCCGGGTGCTGAGTGCAGGGTTGGTGGCAGCGGGGCCCTGGTTTGCCCTCTCTGCGCCGCTGGCCTCCAAGGCTGCGTGGCTGCGCTGGGCACCAACACAGCGAGTCGCGCCCCAAGGGGCAGCGCTGCAGGCTCCTGGCAGCAGCACTGGGCCAGAACCTCTCCCTGGGCCCGGCGGCTGTGCACAGACCGCCCTGGGCAGAAGGGCCGGTTGTTAACGTGAACCTGCTGGGCTGTCTCTGGAAGGACCTTTCCCCGGGAATGACAGGAATGTCTTTATCCTGGCCAAAAACAAGGCTGGGTGCCGGGCAGCTGAGGAAACTCACTGCCGGAGGCTAGCACCACTGCAAACAACAGCCATAAAAATGGGTGCATGGGAGGCTCGGCTTGTGCCTGTGGCCTCTCTGCATCACCGGGCAAGGGTCTCTGGGAGCAGGCCAGCCTCCGGGACCCTAAATCCCAGCACCCTACCTCAGGACCCTACCGGGACCCTAAATCCCGGCCTTCACCTCGGCCAAAGCCTCCTCGAGGAAGAGCCTGCGAGGAAGAGCACACGCGGCAGCYTCGCTCTGCATCGCTCTTTTATTTGGGCACAGGGAGCTTGAAGGGAGGAACAGAGAGTYGCTGCCCCAGCGCTGGGGCCGGGAGGGCTCCCCTGGGGTGGCCGGGGGCCACCGGGCCGGGCAAGGGGCGGCGCGGCCCTTGGGCCCGTGCGGCGCTCAGCTGATGGTCACGGGGAAGGCATTAGCAAAGTGGAGGGCGCTGGGCTTGCTCGGGCGCCCGAGAAGAAAAGCTGCCGGCGTCGCCACCTCCTCGCCGCTTGCCGCCTGTTCCGGACACGCCGCGCACAGCCCAGGCTCTCCCCGTGCACACACACACACACACACACACACACACACACACACAGGGGCGAGGGGAAGGCGCCCCTCGCTGCGTGCTGCCCCAGCTCCGGCTACCGAGAATGCCACCGCCTCCATCTCCGGGATGGCGCGGCAGTGAGTCCCGGGCCCTGGTCCCTGCTGCCCCGAGGGCGCTGTCTCCGGGGCGCCTCAGAGGACGACGCGCCGCTCCAGCTGCTCGCCGCGGCCGGCCCGCTGGTGCCGGGCCTCCAGGTGCTTGCTCTGCACCTTCTCGAAGTGCTGCAGCAGCTCCGTGTAGTCGATGCTGGCCGCCACTGACCTCTTGGAGCCAGCGCTAGGCTTGGGGCCCTCCCTGCAAGGAGGAAACGGAGTGTGAGCTGGGGGGGGAGGCCGGGGCTCCCGGCATTGTGCTACGGGCAGTGTCAGTCCTTGGGGGGCCCRAGCCAGGGGGGAAGGTGCCTGTGATGAAGCAACCAATTCCATGGGGGTGGGTGAGGGCAATGGCAGTGCCAGCCCTGTGCCAGGGTGCACTGGTGCCCCCAAACCATGTCCAAGCTGGGGGAGGCCAAGTTGGGAACCTTCCAGCAAGGAGGCCAAGAAGCGATGGAGGCCACCCTAAGGGTTGTCCCTTGAGCAGGGATGAGGCCCACTCAAACCTCCAAGGAGGCTTCTCTCTGTGAGACTGGAAGGATTTGGGAGCTGGAGGAGCCTGGTTCCGCCCCTGGCAGAGCAGAGAGGGACTGAGTTTCCCTTTGGCAGGATCATTTTGGGGACGGAAGTCACTCCGCAGAGCCTTGCACCAAGCACAGAGCACACGTGCGCACRGAGGCCGTCAGAGGGCTGAGGAGGAAGAGAAGAAAGTTGAGCTCCAACACAGGGCTCTGGGGATCAGGAAGAGTGCCTGGATGCCAAGGTTTAACCCTGCTGGCATAGGCGCTCGCCCTGGGAGCCAGACACGTGGGGACAACACAGCTTGTGCCCATGGCGGCTTGTTCCCGACCGCCCGGTCCTCCGCGGAGAGGAGGCTGCCGGGGCTCGCCGGTCCTGGAAGCCGAATCCAGCGTGGAGARGAATGTAGGTCACCATTAATCAGATGCACAGGCTGGCTGACAGCTCCGTGYGCGCTCCGAGCTCGGCTGGCAGCGCTGAGGACAGGGCCGGACGGGGCAAATGAGCGCGCATCCTGCTCCCCCTCGTGCCTGCTGAGAGCGGGCGTGGGGCTGTGGGCCCAGCAGGGAGGCCGTGGGGGATACAAGCCCGCCGGGGGGCCTGGTTCAGAGGAGGGCGGCTTGGCACCCTTCCCTGTGCCAACGCTTGGGCACCCTTCCCTGTGCCAAGGGCAGACGGAGCCTTTGGAGCAGCCTGGGGCGCGCGTGGTGTCTGGGAGGCCGAGGCCTTGCAAAGCCACCGCCACAGCCGCCCCGCGTGGGGCGAGCGGTGCCTTTTGGGGCAGGGAGGCTGAGGCCAGGCGGGCGGAGCCCGTCACCCCCGCGGCAGCGCCGGGGCCGCGCGCCGAGCGCCCCGCAGCCACCGCCGCGAGCCGCGGCCGCTTCTCTCCGCAAACCTCCTTCATGGCTCCACTCGTTTCCATAGCGACCCCACAAGGGAAATTTTCCATCCCGGATGCCAAATGCCTGTGGATGAGGCACAGCCCTCCCAGGGTTACCAAATATAGACAAAAAAAAAAAAAAAAACCCAAGCGAGCGCTCACGGACACGGGGCAAGGAGCCACCGCGTCCGCAAAGGGGCCACGTGGCGCGGGCGGCCCGCGGGCCCCAGCCTGGCGCCGCAGCCCAAGCTGCCGTGGGGACTTACGCYGTCTGCATGAGCTCGGGGTTGGGCACACACTGCAGCCGGTGGGAGAGGAGCTGGAAGGCACTGCTCTGGGGCAGCAGCATCAGCAGCCCGTAGAGAGCCTTGATCAAGTAGGGGTTGTTCTTCACGTCCAGCAGCTGCAGGCGAAGATCTGCAGGAGGAAGGCGAGGAGGCAGTGAAAGGGCATTTCACCTCCATCTGGAGGAGCAGGCGCTTCCCAACCTGTATGGATGGTCCTAGAGGACCTTGAGGCCTGGGCAGGCATCAGCGCTGCTCCAGCCAACCCTGTCCACATACCTGCCTCGGTGTTCCACCACCGCCAACAAGCCCCTCTCCTCAGCCACTGCCAGCAAAGAGGGCAATTCCTCAATCTATCTCTGCTTTGGCAGGGCAAAAGATGCTCATGTTGGAGCCTCAAGGCCATGGGATCTCCGCTATCTACCCAAGGACACATTGGCAACATGAGATTGCTCCTCGGCTTCTCACGGGTAACAAACCACAAGCCCGGAACAGCGCATGTCAAGAGGACTGTGTTCCACCTGCCTGTGGCAGTAAYGCTGTAAGGGATCCCCTTCTAGCCCCTCCTGGGCACCTTCCTCACCTGATGGCAACTCACACTTGAGCACGGTGTTGCTCACCAAAGGGAAAACAARGTTCCTGCTCCAGCCCTTGGGGTAGGCAGGGCTGGAAGCGCCTGGCTATCTCTGTCACGAGATGCAGCTTGACTTCCTTCCTTTAGGAGCCATCTTAGCTGCATGTTTKCAGGGCAGCTTGAGAGGTGACTTCTTCTGTATTTCTAAAGACAACCGAGMCATATTCCAGCCCAGCAGACACCAGGGCAGCTGGAGAGCTGAGCGTCTTCCTTGTCAGGCTGAGTAAGCAGCGTGTCAGGATARGGCTCCCCGCTTGGTGCCAAAGCTGAATTCCCTTCCTTGGCCCCCTTCCCACCGGCTCCTGCCACCCCGTCCTGGTGGCAGGCCCTTGGGGTCCACCACTGCTTGGTGCCCCAAAGGCTTCCGCTGCTCCTGGCTTGGAGGTCCTTTAATGTAACCCAGTTCCTCTTACCTCACTCCCATTTGCATCCCCAAGACCCTCTCCCTCTGGTTGCCCTCTTCTTGGCTAGCGAGCCAGTCCTGTACGTAGGCTGTGGAACAACCCTATTTCTCCCGTCTGGCCGTGGTTGAGGAGAGAACACACCCAGGGCTTGGCCAGCTGCCCAGGCACCTGAGGACCCTGACAATCAAACATAACATGGGGCATCTCTGTGGGATCTCTGGGACACATGAGGACATCTCTATTCTTGCCCCAGCTTCAGAGCCTCCTAGAGCAAAGGAGCCACCGTCCAGACGCCTCAGGAAACGCAAAGCTCAGGTTCACCAGCATGGCCTCATGCCAAGGCTTGATGCCAATCCTCCCTTCGGGGAAAAGCAGCCAGCCTGAAGTCCCACTGTGACACTGCCCATCAAGCCAGCGTGGCTGGGCTCAACGTCCAAGTGGAGCGGGGACAGTAAGGCCAGACTCAAAGGTCGCACGGTGCAGGGCTTGAGTGCTGCTGCTTCGCAGCTTCGTGTGAAGCTGCACAAGAGCCACCATCACCATCGCCCAGGCTGACCTCCCACTTCTTATTAGCTCCTCTGGTGCCTCTCTGCAGCAGGGCTCATGTCCATATGGGCTGCTCTGCAGAAGCCTTTTTATCCCTTATGCAGAGAGGGCACCACACGGACCACTTGGAACCATGGTTCCTCACTGAGGTGAGTGGAAACCTCCCAGGAACAGCCCAGGGCTGTAGAAAACCAGCACTGTGATTCAACGCCTTGAGTCAGGAGGGGACCAGATGCACATGGGGGAAAGTCAGCCTTGGGATGACACATGGAAAAAGGGAGATCTGCAATGGCATCCCAGCACTTCCTAGAGGACTGATGTTGCTATCACTCCTTGCTCCTGCACATTCAGTTGGACATTGTGGTGTCCAGTGTTGGAGCCTTCCCTAATGATACCACCATCATCAGAGGTGGCAAAGGGGATGCAGATCAAAACATCTCCTTTGCCTTTGCTACATCATGGGCTAGTAAAGACGGACTCCACGTTGCTAAGGCTGATCTGCCACCTAAGGGCACAGAGTTTTCTCTGTCCTCTAACACCCTWGGAGGAAACACGACCAAAGACCAGGCCATGTTTCCACTGCCCATCTACTCTAGTCCTCCTCCCCCAAATACTTTCCAGCCTGGAGCCATATAGTCCTCTTCATGGGAAATTTTCAGGTGCCCTCAGTGTCCAGCCCACCTCACAGCCTCGAGGGAGCAGTTTCAGGACCAAATCAGCACGTGGGCCTGCTCAGCACTTCAACCCCTTGGCCAAGAGGCAACCAAAGGCATTGGCTGCCAGGAGAAAACCCCAAATCTAAGGTCACCCCATAGCTCTATGTCCCCAAGTCCTCGGCCGACACCAGCAGCTCGTGGAGCAGCGGGYGGCTGTGTTACATTTCCGTATTTTTTAGGGCTTATTCCATTTCCAGGAGAGCTGCGCTCTTTGGAGAGAAGGCATCTTGTGCTGCCAATCCTACAACATTCCCCAGGCATCTACGTCGCGGGGCCTTGAGCGGCTTCCTCCAGCTGATGTCCTCCACGTGCCCCACGGGCAACGCGGAGGCCCAGACTCCCCCTGTCCTCTCCCATCCTTTTGTTCCATGCCAACGCCGCGCGCTCTGTTAACCTATATATTCGGGGCAAGCTGCCTCCTGCGCAGCCAACCGGCGTGCCAGGCAGCTCGCGCGGAGGCCGCGGCGCAGCTCACAGCAAAAAGTCTCATAACTTCTGCTCTATTTATTCGTGCCGCTGCGCTGCCACTCGCGCCACGGCGAGGGGGACGTGCCGGGGGTGGCCCGGCAAGGCAGCATGCCAGGCGCGCTCGCCGTCCCTTCCCCGAGCTCCCACCCGGCTCGCCGGCCGCTCCAAAGGAAGGCTTGCGTGGGGCCTTACATGTGAATATGGGGCACTCGATGAGCTGCACCAGCTTGTCCACCTCGGTGAGGAAATCCACGGTGACCTCCAGGTCTCCGCTGCGCGCGGCTGTTAAGGACGCCACCTTGGAGGACGGGGGCCTTTTGCAAATGGAAAGCGCCGTCTCCGAGCTGCCCCACGCGCCGGCGGTGCCACGCAGCGCTGGCAGGACCCTGAGCGTGGGTCCTCCCCGCTGCCCGGCACGCGGGCGGCTGGGAAGCGGCTTAGCCATGTGCACGGAGCTGATTTGTGCCGGGGCTCCAGCACCGCGGCTTAATCTCTCGCTTATTATCCAGGCCAATGTTCCCTCGAGCCCGTGGTGACAGCTCTTCCAAAGCCTCCATGGGACTCGCGGCTCCCGGACTGCACGGGCAGGGAATGTGGGGCTCGCACGGAGGCAACGCGAGGAAGGAGCAGCCCTGCAGCAGAGAGCAGCACAGCCAGCTCGGGGAGGAGAGGTCTATGGGGCAGTCTGCAGATAGGGCGAAATGTGGCAGGCAGAGGGAGCAGAAAGTCAGGCTGCCCTCCAAGTCAGCAGTGGCTTTTGTAGTGCGGGAGTCTCCTAGATTGTGGCAACGGAAGGAAAAAGCGAGAGAAGGCGCTGGCTTTTAGGCCACTGGCCCGTGGGGATGGTACTAAACTGCTGCAGAGTGCTCCTGTCCCCCAAGGTAAACACCAGTGGACGTTAGGTGAGGGGAGCTGAGAGCGTTATTAGGCTTCTTGGTGTGGAAATATGCTCAGGGAGGCTCAGATTTTGCTGGCACACAAAAATCATCATTAGGCTGCACCTCACCGGTGAGGTCAGCGGAGCTGCACGGGAACCACACCGGGCGCCGCGGCCTCCCCGCGCTCGCTCTGCAAGGACGCGCACCCAAGGGGCTCCCAAAAAGGGCTGAGGGCAGAAAGCCTCCAGCCTCCTTCCGGAGGGGAAGGAGCCAGGAGTGCAGTGGGAAGTGGCTCAKATCACGCAGGGCTGTGGGCAGCCCAAGCGCAGCTGCGGGGAGACCCTCGGGGACCTCCGGGGTGCCTCCAAGAAGCACATGGAGGACGGGGGCTTTACGGAAACAACGAGGTGGAAAAGAAGGAAAGAAGCCGTGTCCTCCACATGCATTGCGGGACATGGATCGAGGAGGCCAAAGCCCTCGTGTTCCTGGGAGGAAGGAGCTGCAAAATAGCCTCTCCTTTGGCGCCGTTCTTGGGCAGAGCAAGGCCAGCGCAGGCTTGCCTCTTCTTTACACCGCAAAACCCCATGGCAGGGAAGGAGATCTGGCCAGCGCCCAGGAAACGCTGTCCTGTCCTGTCATCAGGCTGCTGGCGGAGGGACATGCCCTGGTAATGATGGGCTGCAGAGCTGGGCCAGCCCAGCGAGGAGCYACTAGCCAGCCCAGCAGCATGAGGGGTCAGCCAGGAAAGCTCGGGGCCCCACGGGGCCATCCCAACAGAATTTTGACCCTTCGGAAGTGGGCTGCTCCTGAACCACAKCTGGAAGCTCCTCCTTCCTCYTCCCTCCTCCTCACCTGGAAGCTCCCGAGCCCCCAGTCCACCCTGAGTGGCCTGTGAGAGCGGTGGCCACGGGAGCCACGAGCTGCAGCCCGTGGTGGGTACGGGTTCGTCTCCACGGTCTGTGGGCTCCCTCCAGGCTCAGCCCTCCTCCTCCTCGCCAGTGCCCCACAGAAGCCACAAAGGATACAATTTCTGGATGAGGTCGTAGGCGTGCTTGTAGTTTTGGGTAAGGAAGCACAGGGACACAGTGGTTACGGGGTTGTGACACCAGGAACGGTACAGGCAGCAGAACAGGTTACGGCTCTCCTGGGGAAAGAGAAAGCAACCAGGGGTTAGGTCTTCAGCTGGAGCAGGGGCCGCCGGCACACGGGCATCACGGGCACCCAGTGCCAGCCTTGGAAGCCACCGTCCCAGCCTTGTCAAGATATGACAGGCCGTTTCTCGACATCGGATATTCAGGCAGGCTCTGTGTGACACACAAGCTGGCCACAACCCGAGGCCACAGTTGCCTTCATATTCCACACGGCAGCTGCTGCGGCTGGACATCTGCCGGTAAATCCAGGAGAAATGACAGCGGYGGCGCATGTGTGCAGGGGAGGGGCGGCTGGACATGCTGCTGGTGGATCTGCTCCTGGGGACACCTCGCAGCCCCCGGCTCAAAGCTCTGAGAAGCCCAAGCAGCACTGCTTTTGACTCAATTTTAGGTGCAAGACAGTGRCACAGCTCCCAAATCCTGACGTGGGCTGCATGGACTCACCGGGAGATACAATCTCCGACCAACAGGTCTGAAGGTGCACTCACTAAACCACGCAGGGCCACCAAGACAGCAGGCTGGAGGGCTGCGGTTAGGCAAGGAGCCACTGCAATCACTGGCCTTCAGCACAWGGCATGCAGCACCCACCGGGAAAGCCTGTCTCCCTCTCTGTGCCTCACCCAGATCCCAGCGCCGGGACAGCTGCTCTGGAAGCACGGCAAGCGTTTTCCAAGGATCAACAGCTGAGGGACCATGAGGGCTTTGCGGGGAACTTGCCTGCTGTCACCTGTCTCCTAGTGAGCYTGGGAGCGAGGCGGCAGCTGCTGGAGGGCTCGGGTGGCCACGTAGGAGCTGCGAGAACACGAGGACTTTGTGACTGCCTGACCCAAGGGCTGCTCTCTGGCGCAGCAGGGCAGCAAGGAGCGGGAAGCAGTGTTGGATGGGGCCTCCTAGGGCCCCTCAAGCCCTCCTGCTTGCCTTCACRCGCTGTCCTCAGGCTCCTCAGGGAGCACCGGCTCTCACGGCACTCACAGAACTTGTATCTYGGCCAAGAGTCGGACCAGGACTCTGGGGAACAGCAGCCCAACTTGGTTTCTAAGCAGCTTCAGCTAAGCTCTCTGTCTCAGTTTCCCACCTGTAAAATGGAGCTATTCTGTCCCTGCAAAGGAKCTTGGAAACACTGCTACAAGTCAGGACACAAAGGGACCAGGCAGCTGTTCTGGAAAGAAGGAGGAAGATGTTGCTTCGTTTGGAAGAGCTGCAGCATAGAGAAACAGCAGAGGAAAGCAAGGAGCATTCGAAATGAAGTCCGGATGAACCATCCACCAGTCAGTGCTCTGCTCCTGCAGTGATGTGGCCTTTAGTCTCCAAAGGCTCTGGTCCTCAGTCGCTGCACTCTCCCCCACGGAGAGTGGCTGGAAAACTCGAAAACTGGGTATTTCAGGGCTGCTAATGATTAAGGCTTAGGTTTCTCGTGCAGGAGAAGCTCCTGGGAGGGTGGCTGCTGGAGCACAGGAATGGACTGCTGAACAGGCTTGGCCTCTCCAGAGCCAGTGTTCTTTAAGAAAGCACTAGCTAAGTGTTGATCYAAGAAATATGGCAGAGAAAAGTCCTTCCTTCAGCCCCTGGGGGCCAGGTGCTCGGCACACGGACAGCTTCCCATGCCGGACCCTGCGGCACATGAAGCCTCAGCTCTCYACCCAAGCTTGAGCAAACCACGAACTCATTCGAGAGAGGCCCTTGCCCTGGCCTCCTCTTAAGCGACCAGGCCAGGGAAACGCTGGGGTCAGGTCCAGGAAGCCTGAGTCTTAACTACAGCACGTTGGCTTCCGCATCCGCTGCGCCTGCCGCCACCAGGCCCAGCTGCAGCGAACGCTTGGAAGCCTTTGGAAGAACTCTTTGGAGAGYGCCAGGAAATGGCCATAGGAAACAGAAAAAAAAAACACCCCTAAGTTTGCACTTCTGCAATCCAGGTGGAGAGGAGGTGAAAATTGCCCTTCTCCTCCTGTAGGAAGACAGMGGGAATGAAGGAGTTAGCCCAAGGCGAGTTGGGGAGATCAGCCAGGGACTAAGCAGCAAAATCACAGAATCACAGAGTGGTTAAGCTTGGAAGGGACCCCTAGAGATCATCTAGTCCAATCCCCCTGCTCCAGTAGGGACACCCAGAACAGCTTCAGGCAAGTGAGGCTCAGGCTGCATCCAGGCGAGTTTTGAGGACCTCCAGAGAAGGAGACTCCACAGCCTCCCTGGGCAGCCTGTGGCAGGGCTCAGTCCCAGGCTTCCTTCAGGTCCCTGCCACCCTCACGGAGAGCATTCCCACTCCCCACACCTGGGTCTTCAGGTCCTTCAGTTGATTCCTCAGCTGGAAAAGCTCGGAGGAAGTCAGCAGGATGGTGTTCAGCGTATGGACCATGGTGGAGGCGAACTTGAGGTCCTCCTCACGGAGCAGTATGTCTGCCATGGAGTGGAAGATGTTTTCTGCATTTAGAAGCAGACAGAGCTGCCTGTGGATTACAGAGAATAGAAAAAAAGGGAAAAAAAAGAGAGGGGGATGGTTATTTACTGCAATTGAGAAGCAGAGACCACACATCCGGCAGCAAGGTTCATGCATGCTAAACATGGGGACATCGGAGATTGGAAAAACTCGCACACCGGCATCAGAGTGCAGCTGTTACAGGGCAGGATCCGCTCTGCATATATAAAGTACAGATATTCCAACGTGGACACAGCCAAAAGGGGAACCGTGTCCCTTACTAACTGCCACTGGATGAAACTGGAAGGTCCAGCGAGGCCAGTGTCCATCTGACACCCTAAGTCAGTAGGGAGGAAGCGTGAAGCACCAAGTGCAACCTCGAGCAATCCCTTGGGAATACTCCCTGCCAGCCCCCAGCCATGTGGGGCCTCTGGAAGCAGTGGCTCCGTGGACAACCCCCCTCTTGCTCTTTGAACTCCTCCGCACTCCGGCCCCACGAAATCCCGTGACGAGGAGCTCCGGAGTCCAAACCGCTGAACCTGGAAGAGGTCTCCGCTTTGGCCATGCCTCATTTGCTGCCTCTCAGATCCGCTGAAAGGCACTTTTGTTCCCCCAAGGCCACCACGAGGCCTTCGGTCCTCTCTAATGTCATCTGCTCTGCTCCCTTTCACAGGATGAAGAGTCTAACGCAGATCCAGGCCTCGAAGCAACCCCTGTCGTGCGTCTCTTCCTGCTACACCTTTTTGGGCCATTACTGCCCATGCTCGCCTGCTGTTTCTGCTCACCAGGACCGTCACGGGCACCACCAGACCGGTGCCCAACGCAGGCCACGTGAACACAACCACGGGCCCACGCTGCGGGGCCGTGGTAGGTCGTGGTAGGAACCCTCTGCTGCAGGAATGGTCTCCTCCAAGTTTGGAAGGTCTTCAGGCAGAAACCGAAACCCAGATTTTCCTCCGCGCTTGTTTGGATTTTCTCATTTCCTGTTTTTCTCCGCCGCGGCTGCCGAGCTCCCGCGTTTTGGGGTGGTTTGTCTGAGGACACCTGAACCGCTGCCCATTGTGGGCGCAGCCCTTCAGGCCAGTGGGCAAAGGGGCCGGGGAAGCAGATCCAGCTCCTCCACCACCTCCACTCTGAAGAGTCCCGAGGGAGAAKGCTCTGGGTTCATCCTGACTGGGATAGGGGAAGAAGCTGGGATGAGAAGAGCTTCCAGACCTCGGCAGCATCCTCATGCGTCTACACACTCCTGAGTGTGGGCATCTCTGATGCGGTCTCCAAAACCTGGGATGTTCCACATGCACCAGGGGCATCCCCRGTTCCAGAAGCGTGTGGAACACCCCTGCTCCCAGGAAGCTGCCGGCTTCCTGCAGGGCTCCGCAGCCTCCGCCCCAGGAGCCTATGGAGCAGCCAGCACCCATGCAGCCCGGGATGGGGTGTCCCGCGCTCCCCCTGCATGCAGAAGCCACGTGGGAGCATCGCCCGGGAAGACCGGGAGGACCGTGGAAGCCGAAGGGGACGTGGGGCCCCGCGGCTGCCGCCGGAGCTGCCCCACAATGGGATGCTCTGTGCGGGGCGTTATGTAACTAACCCAGCGCTTGTCAAGGGCCACATTCGAACGCGGTCGTGAAGCGGCTCCTTTATCCCAACGGCTCTTATGTAAGCGGCCGTGTTCGGAGTGCTGCCCCGGAGCCCTCGCCTGKCTCCGGGACGAGCGACGGGGACACCCGGTCCAATGCTCGGAGCAGGGTCAGGCTGAAACTTTCCCCCTCTCAGTCCTTCCTGCCTCGGAGAGGGACCTTGTCCCCTCGTCCCAGCGGGTGTGGGATAGTGGGGATGAGGCTGCGGGGTGGGGGGGGCGTTTCTCTTCTAGCTCCCAGGAACGAGGGGCCCGTAGCAACTCAAAGCCAAGCCAGAATCCCGTTGGCAAGAAGTTTCTTGGGAAGCGCTCCGCAAGACAGGCAGCTTCCAAGGGACTTCAGGGACCTTCGAGGCTGCCCTCAGCCGCCCACGCGCCCGAGCAGGCATTTTAAAGAAAATATTCTGGTCCAGCCCCCATTTCGCTCCCTCCGCCGCCGCCCCTTGATCCAAAATCACAGGCTCCTTTTCCATAAATAGCAGCCCTGACATTTTGCTGGCTAATGCCTTGTTCCCAGCAAGCAGGACGCTGAAGAGAAAGCACTTTCTAATTTCGGGCCTGGTTTTGATTAGTGAGGAAGGGTTTTTTTATATATTTCTGTTCCCCCCCCCCTGCTCTTGGAGGCCTTGGGAAATGAGAAACCACCACCGTGCGTTAGAGGAGCAGCTCTACATCCCCCGGCCTGGCCAAGACCCACCTTTGCTTTACACCCTCTGTACTCCAGCCTCTTCCACCAGGATGTGGCTGCGAGGTGGGAGAGGACGGAGCAGAGGTGCCCGGGCCGGGTCCGGGTTCTCTCCTGCAGAATGGGGGGGAATAAAAAGCTCTGGAAGGAAGAGCCTGCCCAGGTGCAGCCAGGCCACCTCCGCCTCTCCCTTCAACTCCCAGTGCCCAAGGACCCTCATCCAACCTCCTCCCCGCTCCGGGTGTCGCCCCCCACGCCATGCCCAGCCCCACGTTATATCAGCACGAGGCCAGCACGGTGGGGACAGGTGCCGCTGGCTCATGGCACGGCAGCCGAGACGCCACCAGATGCCAGTGGCCTCCGCCGAAGGGGCTCAAGGGCCAGGGTGGCCCTGGCGGTGGCCGGGCTCTGGAGAATCATCCAGCACCATCCACRGTGCCGGCGTCAGGAACCTGCTGGAGATGCCCAGGGAGGAGACTCCGGGCACGGGCTCGCGCAAGCTCCAGTCTGTCCGTTTGCTCTCCAATCCCAACGTCGCTGTTACTGAATGAGCCCCCGGCACCAACCAGGCTCTGGGCAAGCTGTTCTCCTCTGGCCACCCTGCCAATTCCAGCCCCAAATTCATCCCTGCTGGTAACAACCTCAGCGGGATGTGCGCTGGGGCTGTGAACTCCTTAAACTGAACGGGCTCGCCCAGCTTTGAAGCCACCCGAGGGATCCGCGTGGGCCACCAGGGCCACCTGCAGCTCCAGGTGACGCAGAGGGGATGCGGCGCTGGCAGCAGCAGTAGCTGCCCTGCTCTGCAGCCAAACCCGATGAGGTGTGGAGGTTACCAGGCCTCCAGAGGTGCYAAGTGAATGGCAACCAACTCCCGTTGTCCCAACGACTGCTAGAGCAGGGAGCCCGGGGGACAGCACCATGGTCACCGCTTCCCCACAAACACTGGGAAAGGGCGGATCGAGAGCCTCAAGGAGCAGGATTTTTCCCCCCGTTGCCCACATTTAGACGCGCTGCGTGCGCAACCCAGACAAGCTCGATCCCATGAAGGCCGCGCTCAACCCTAAGTGTTCAGATGACAAGGGCTACAGCCAGGCCCCTGGAATGAAGGATGCCTCCTGGCAGCCAGGAGGACAGGCCGGGGCCACAGACGTCCGAGGGACCAGGCACCCGGCCAGCACCTCCAGGGACACCGCGTGMTGTGGGATGCTCCAGCATCAGCCAATGCCAAGGGCAGCATCTCAGACGCTTCCTCAAAGAAGGAAGAGGATGGAGGAAACAAGCCGGGCTCGAGGGTGGAAGGAGTCAGGCAGAAAGCCCGGGTAAAGGGAAGGGAGCTGTGGGAGAGCGTGCCAGAACCAAGGACAACCTCAGCCCAAGAGCTACAGGCTGAGGGGCAGCAAGGAGGCCCCGCGTGCCCTGGGGAGCTCATGGCCATTGGGGGCCACCTCCACGTGCCGTCCTCCCCGTGCTGCCGCCACGACCGAGCAGCTCCCGGGCTGGGCTGGAGCGCGGAGCACAGAGCCACATCTCCAATTAAGGACAGCACCCAAGTTCCCTCCCGGCCAGCGCAACGCCTGGAAACGGGGCTAATCCAAACACGAGACGCGTTAACCGCTTCGGCCCCCGGGAATTGCTTTTATTAGCAGTTTATATAAAGGCAGCGGCATTTCTTGCCCCACTTGGAGCAAGGGTGGCTGGAGACGCCCCAGCCTGGCGGCCACTATGTGTCCAAGCCCCACTTGCTCCGTGCGGAGCCGGCGAGGAAGGCTCTGGTGAGGAAGGCTCCCATGCGGAGAAGGGCAGCGCCCTGCTCTGCTTCCTCCCCCACCCTCCTCTTCCGGTGCTCCCTTTTCCTCTTCTTCTCTCCCTTTTGGCCCCCTCTTCCTCCCCACGGGAGCCTCCTGCCCTTTCCTCCCAGTGCCGGCTGCCCCGGCTTGACTTGGGCGCCCAACGCGGAGCACGGCAGCTCCGGCTCCCCCCCGGAGCCATCCTGTCAGGAAAACAGCATCCGCGGCTGCCTCAACAGCTGGGATCCGTTAGGAATTTGCAGAGGAAGCAGCCTTCAGAGCCCAGATAAAATTAGGCCGGGCAGGGGAGGGGAGAAAGAGGGGAGAGCAGCAATGCAGGGAGGATGCAATTCCCCCCCTGCTTCCTCCTTCCCCACCGCAGTGAAAAAAACATAACTCCCAGCGCTCCATTTTTCCCGAATCGGGGCTGGGAAGCGTGTGCCTCGGGGCCACGGAAACCATGGCGACAGCGGCAGCTCCTGCTTTAAAAAATTCATAGTTTAATGCAYGGGATTTCAAAGCACTTTGCAAGTTTTGCAGAGAGGATTTCCTTCTGCAGAGACAGGGCTGCGAGGAGGGGGGCTCTTGGCCTCCCCACTTCCCTCTGCAGGTGCCAATGGGTGTTGAAACAAAAGCCCCTGCCCYAAAGGAGCCCTGGGTGCTGCGTGCYGGGTRCTCCTGCCTACCGGGGCCGAGGGAGGCCCGCTGAGCCCAAAGCTGCRCCAGTTGCCTCGGCCCAGGAGGTGGGAACGGGCCCCGGAGCTGCGAGCAGAYGGACGAGTTGCACAGGGCAAGGCATGGAGAGCAGGAGGGGCGATGAAGCAGAGGTTGCCTCAGGAGCTCTTGCATCCGGAATGGCATCTGGGAACGTCACCAAGTCCTACAGCGGGGCAGTTGTGGAGCTGGAAGCTCTCCCTGCGTGA